CACGCAGCGCGACCGCCCAGCCCACGTGCGGAGCTGCGCGGGGACACCCGGGAAACGGGGCGCTCAGGCCGGGCAACGCCGCTCGCACGAGCTGGGAGCAGCTGCCAGTGCGTGTCAGGGGCAGCGCCGTAAGGAAGCGGCCGGCGCTGGGCAGAGCCCTGCCCGAGGGTGGTGGGAGCTCAGTGGTAAACGCTGAGTCTGGGGAGATTCTTCTCCCTTCAATTTCCTCCCTGCTCCTAATCTGAACAGTTTTAGCACTTAAAGCACGTTGCAACAAACCTTTCTGATCCTTCCGCAGCCGAACGATGTTCTCTTCCAAGTGCTTTCTCCCGTCGGTTTCCTTCAGGATGGCTGAGAAAAGAGAAATGAAGAGTCCAGGCAAGAGACCAGCCCATGGACACATGGGTCTCCAAGAGACACACATGGGTGTGCACCCATGGGCTGAGAGCAAGGAGACCATTTGTTATCAGGGGTGACTTCACTTAGGAGTCAATAAGAGGAAGGGAAAACTCCAACTTTCAGTCAATTAGACTTTGTAGTCTTCAACTTCCTGCTTCAACTACCTGGAAGAAATGTTCTGGAAACAGAGAAGACCGAAAAACTCCTCTGGAGCACAACGTGGACTCACCTTTGACCACCATCAACACTGTGTGCGGACGATCCAGAGAGATTGCCAGCCCCAAAGCTTTGAGATACCTTTTCTCATGAAGCAGGTTAGAAAGCTCTTGCTCTCTGGAAAACAAATCGGAGTCAAGAGAGTGAGATAAATATTTGGTGGGGGGGAAAAAAAAGGCCATACAGAAAGTAACCCATTTGGCACTCATGGTGTGCAAAGGTTCAGCACCAAGCAGTTAATGCTGCTGGCCAAGGGATGCCTCAGAGCCCTCATTGTGCAGACAGTTCCCCTGGGACATTCAAGGGCTCCCTGAACTATTCTGTGCTGGCTGAGGAAGAAGAAAGTGAAAGTAAGTTTCAGTGGATTGACTTCATCTTAGCGGTGCATAACCATGGAACTAATCAAGCTGACAGTATTCTAGCAAGGCTTGGCAGGAACTGAAGATAAACTACAAAGCAGAAGAGACTCCTGTGCCTTGACAGCCTCTGAACAGCTGAATGATGTAACGTTCCGTTGGCTGGAGCTGGATGGCTCTGGGTGTGGACAGCTTCCCTGGACAGAGTCTGCCTTTCTCAGGACCAACTTACTTAATAATCTGCTCCTCCTGTTTAGCCTGTGCCTCCTTCTCTTCAATTTCAGTGACATCCTACAGAAAAACAGATGACATGTCTGTCAAATCTTGCTTTAACACACGTGAATTTTTATTTAGCCATCAAGTGATGAGGAGACCAGTTTCTGCAGCAAGATCCCAAGGTGAAGTAATTCACGTGTTAAATCCAGCAACTTGCAACTTCCCTCCAAACCGCCTTTAGAACACCAGCGCTGGGGAGGCTGCTAAGGCCCATCGGCTGGTCCTGTTACATCAACAACTGGGGAAATACAGTATGGCCAAAAAAACCAAACCCAAACCCCAAGAAATGCCTGACTGACCCATTTTCAAAGTGCAGAAAAAGAGGAGAGCACGTCATGCTGGAACAGCAAGGAACGAGCCACCAGGACCTGAGCTCTTCAACTGCATTCTCATTACTAACCCAGAGAGGAAACACATGAAGACCCCGTCCTGTACCTTCCACAGCGTGATGCAGGAGTCACTGGATGCTGTCACAACCATATCATCTTGCTTGTTAGAGTGAAGACCCCAGATTTTATCTTCATGAGCATCCAACGTTTTCACGCACTCGTTTGTTTTAATTGTCCAGAGTTTTAAGAGACCATCAGAACCACTTTTGGAAGAAACACAAACACAACAAGAAGAATCACTGGATAGATCCGTTCTCGCTCTGCCCCATCTCAAACATCAGGTGAATTTGCCCCATTCCAACACCTTTCAAACAGGAGCAGAATTAACCAAAAACATCCAGGGTGAGATGCACCCTCAGCTCTGCCCAACTGCAGCGTATGTCACTAACCCAGCAACGTCACAGCAGCTAACTGGAATCCACCGTGTAACTGAAGAGGAAGATGAGTTGACTTCTGCAGAAAGCTTCACATAAACATGGCATCTTCCTACAAGTCTTCCCCAAACTAAATCCGTTACACAACTCTCCCCTCTTGCTGCTGGCATCAGTTGCTTCCGGTTCGTTTTGGCACCTTCCTCCAGACGCCCGGTATCGGCACTCACCTGCTGAGCAGCTGTGTTCCTCGGCTCACAAAAACCATCTTCAGCACAGAGGCGTCGTGACCTTCAAAGGTCTGGAAAACAGAAAAAGAAGCTCTGAAGTGCTGCATTTGTTGCCTGGCCTTTCAAGGGGATCATTTTTACTCCCACATAGGTAAGTTCCAAACAGCAGGCTCTACCCTTGGGAATTTCTCTTACTGTAGGTTGAAAGGGCAGTAGGAAATGACTTGTCCCTACGCAATTTTTTCCCAACTTGTTGCCCAAGGTCAAACTGCAAACGGTCCAAACGGTGACACCAACTGTGTGGGCTACTTCCCCAAAAGGCTGATTCCCCTGTCGCTGCATGAAGCACACGTTCAGTGAGGAAACTGCTGGGCAGAACGTGGCACAGAGTTAGCAGGTGCCTTCTCATGGTCTTAGTGAGACACTACTGGACTGGACTGGAGAGTTCTACAAAAATCGAGTCTGAAATTTAAACTTGCATGTTTTGACTTGGTGGCCACAGCCGTGTCAGG